GTTTTCTGTTGCAGATAAACTGACCATCCAGAAAATAAATCTCTACTTTTTCTTCTTGATATTAAATAAGCAGATATAAGCAGATATAGGTGTGTATTATTGTTCTCTACCGGGTGGATAAAAATCAAAGATTTTAAAAAATCAGATTTATTTAAATCACAATTTAAAGCAAAAACATTGATTTTTTAAATTTAAATAATAAAAAAATCAGATTTTTAAAATTTAAATTGTGATTTGATTTAAATCCAATCCATTCTGGTTCTCTATCTGAATATCCAAAAATTGTAACTACAAGAACATAATATGTTGTTTTACGACTATAACTATGGAAACTTAGTGGCATATAAAGTACTTCAGAAAATTTAATATGGTGCTTCAAAACGCAATTTGATAAGAACCTATCTAAAGTAGTACAATGGTATAACAATGAAGAAAACTCTCAAATAAGTCACATTAACAATTGAGTCCTAAAGAACTAAGCAGCATAAGCATAATCACTCCCCAGGTTCTCTCCTCTCAACCTCTGCTCCTTTGTAACGTGAAAATAGGTTTATGGTATCCTAGTAATATAACCTTTAGTAAACATAAGGGTCTTAGGCACTTATTGCACCAAGGAACATCTCCAGGTAAATAACACCAAAACTACAATTTCAGTTATGGGGGAATGGGGGTAAGAAATACAGATGGCAGCTGAACAGGAAACTGTTCAGACAGACCCATATAAATACATTGGAGTTACATTTAAAAGTTCAGAAACATGGTTAGATCTTGCTTAGAATTTGTAGCTGTTAGCCGAGGTATCAGCTAATGCTATTTTACTGTTTCTCTTCTGGGCCAGTTGGAAAAATGGTGGCACTTTTAATACAAGTGTATAAATTGTTTCTTCAGATGCTCTATCTGAAAGAGGTAGGGGCTCTTTCAAATATCACACAATTGGAAACTGCCCGACATAAACCATTAACCAGAGCATTAGAGGTACCAAGACCTACCTCTATGGCTTAGTCTGTTCAGAGACATCACACTACTCAGTGGGTACTCTCACTAAGACAGAGCAGTGTTGTTCTGGCTCAAGAGAGTACTATATGGTCTCACAGCTGATTTCATTGACCTATGAAGAAATGGGAAGGAACTCTTGGGTAGCTAATATATCCACAATTATATCTAAGCTTGGTTATTCCCCAGCCTTCTTCCACAGGAGGGGATATGAGACTGTCCAAGAAGATATTATTAAAAGACTGTATGATACTGACATCCAGACTACCATGGCATCTGTAGCTGATTGCCACACTAACCGGGTATACAAAGGCTTTTCCTTGCTTTTTGGAAAGGATCTGGGACAACTGCTAACTAAATCCAGACTGAACTCATTGTTATTGAAAGAGATTCTGGGACATTACGTGAAACAGTAGATATTGTCCAGCAGGATGCTCTGAATTGGGAGGACGCGGTATATTTTGTAACAGAATGCCCTCTGTATGAACAACTGGGATGAATTACTCCCCTTTATGTACAGTTTTATTTCTGTTAGCTGAAATTCTACAGGACTGCTAAATTCATTACAATGAGCTATGGAAAGACAGAACTCACTGCCTGCTTCACAATCTCGACAAGTTAATCTTAACAGCCTCGTACCTGCTTAAGAATGCTTATTTCATTATTTCATTATGTTATGATTTTCTAATTGTTTGTATGTATTTATGTTAGATGTCAACTATCATAGTTTAAGAGTGATTTAATTTCTGTTTATGCATACAGCCTGGCTGGCTATGAAGCAATAAAGTAAACATTGAATAGAAGGGTAATTTTCCTTTTTGCATTGTTATAAAATGTCACCTACTACTGTTTTATGACTGATTTTACATATTTTGGAAAGTAATTCATGGGACTGAATTTATTCTTGAGCAAGGGCTTGTAAGCCTACATTTGCAATGCCCAAAAAATGGTGATGCACAGAAATCAAGATTTCTAACAGACAATTCAAAAGATGGCATAGGTTATATTGTTCAGTGTTCATACTTGGAAAGACTCCGTTCAAAGTAGATGAAAATTACCACTATTACAATATCACACCAACATGAGACTTGGAAAATTCTGGATTAAAGATTTCAGCTTTTTTTCATTAGATCAATGGTTCTCAACTACTGATGGGAGGCAGATGAATTCTAAATGGCACACAGAATTTTCAGAAGAATTATCAGTAAGGGCAAACAGTTGTCTTAATCCATCTGTTAATTCCAACTACAGATTACCTACTGAATCAATAGAATTTACTTTGGTGTTTGCTTACCAAGTACTGTATTTTTCCGTGTATAAGATGATACTTTTGTCTAAAATCTTTTGATTAAAAATTGAGGGTCGTCTTATGCATGGAAGTAAGGATGGAAGGAAGAAATCAAAGTGCTCTGATTCCTGCCTTCCCCCTCCACTTTCTTCTCAAGAAAGTGGAGGGGGAAAGCAGGAATCATCAAAGTGCTTTGATCCCTACTTTCCCCCTCTACTTGCTAAGCGGGCTTAGCAAGAAAGGGGAAAGCAGGGATCAAAGTGATGCTGCAGTGCTTTGATCCCTGCTTTCCCCCTCCACTTGCTAAGCCTCGCTTAGATTTCTTAATTTTGGGTTAGAAAAGGGGGGTGTCTTGTACATGGGGGGTGTCTTATACAGAGAAAAGTACGGTATCCACCGATTCAGTAGATCTCACGGTGGATAATAATCAAATATTTTTATTTAAATAATCAAAAAGTCTGATATAAATTTAAATTTAAAATTGTTTTTTAAATTTAAATCGTGATTTACAGTAAATCTATTTTATTTTATTTTTTTAAAAATAATAAATGTTTATCCACAATGCGACTGTGTAAATTACCCTCTAATCAGTCCAGCCATATTTCTAACAATCCTATCTTATACAGATTCAGTTTTAGTTTATTGGCCCATTATCAAAGATCGGCTGCACTCAGAGACTTGCACACCACCACCTGCAGATTAAGAAAAGGAGAGGTATAGCCATGTATCATCAGCATACTGGTGGCAGTGAACTCAAAATCTCTGTTGACATCTTCTAGCAGTTTGACACAGATTTTAAAGAGAATTGGGGAGACTGTTGACCCATATGTTGACCCTTAAGAGAGGTCTTGAGCGGTGGACACAGCATCCTCAAGCTGTGCCATCTAAAATCCTTCAGTCCCAGAAGGATATCATGGTCAAAATTCATCATCAGCATACTGGTGGCAGTGAACTCAAAATCTCTGTTGACATCTTCTAGCAGTTTGACACAGATTTTAAAGAGAATTGGGGAGACTGTTGACCCATATGTTGACCCTTAAGAGAGGTCTTGAGCGGTGGACACAGCATCCTCAAGCTGTGCCATCTAAAATCCTTCAGTCCCAGAAGGATATCATGGTCAAAATTCCCAAAGGCCAGGGTGGACACAGCATCCGCAAGCTGTACCATCTAAAATCAGCCATCAAAAAAGGACTGGAACTATCTGAGTTGCCAACTGCTGTCCCAGAAGGATATCATGGTCAAAATTCCCAAAGGCCAATGAAAAATCCATGAGGACCAGTGGAGTTACACTCCCTCTGTCTGCCTCCCTTAGGAGATTGTCTTCCACGGTGCTTCAGTACAGTGTCAGGGCCTAAACCCCAACTGCAAGAAATCAAGACCGTTTCTTCCAAGAAAACTTGCAACCGGTCAATTATGAGCCTCTTGATAACTTGCCTAGAAAAGGAATATTTGATATGGGTCTATTTTTGTTCAAGTCATTCATTGCAAACAAGTTTTCTTAAGAATGGTCAGGAGATTGTCTTCCACGGTGCTCCAGTACAGTGTCAGGGCCTAAACCCCAACTGCAAGAAATCAAGACCGTTTCTTCCAAGAAAACTTGCAACCGGTCAATTATGAGCCTCTTGATAACTTGCCTAGAAAAGGAATATTTGATATGGGTCTATTTTTGTTCAAGTCATTCATTGCAAACAAGTTTTCTTAAGAATGGTATTATGATAGGTTGTTGTTTTTTTTAATTGGTGGGCATGAGGCATTACTGGAGAGAAGCACTGATGACATTAGCGACCCATTAAGTAGATTGTATTTGTATTAGATTTTAACAGCCAAGATAGAAAAAAGATCTAAAAAACAGGTAGCAGCTTTACAGCATACATGTGCCTTGTCCACATCCCTAGGCCTTACTAACTGAAACTGATCCAATAATACCTGACTAGATGGTGCACTGGACATTTCAATCTGATCTACTGTAGTAAGTAAGGAGCTGAGATCCCAGTGGATGTATTTGATATTGGATCTAAAATGGGCTGTCAGTCGGCTGCAGTTTTCTACATGTGCCTTTTTGCTTCTACCTGGAATCTGTGAGGTTGCAAACAAGTCAAAAGAGTTCCACCTGTTGGTTGGAGGCTGTATTGATTTATTGGATTAAAGCAGAATGACTATATTTGATTCCAGAACAAAATAAGTCAGATTTACACACTGATTCAGACCTGGAACACAAATCCAATCAAAGGAGACACAAATTGCTTCAATCTTTTATAAAAACAAACAAACAAACAAACTTTAAAGATGCCTAGAACACCTAGTGTAAACATTCCTGAAATTAGTTGTCTGATATTCAGCAGGTTTCCTCTAATCTATTATGCCTCTAAATTACAAGTACAACGTTGTGAAAACAATAACAAAACTATAGTTATTTTTATCTTCCAGTGTGAGCTAATGCATCAATTTTACAAGTTGCAAATGTACAGATTTACAAATTTACAAATCAAATTGGACATAAATCAAGTTGGATGAGGTACATATTGCTCCAGGATGAAACAAGACATATTTAAAATCCATACATTGGCTTCTAAATCTAATTAGGGGACCCATGCACAGGCCTACTTTTAAAGTGTTGGAGTTGAACATTTTTTGTTTCCTACTCTATGGTTTTCAAAATGAAATCACTGGTGAATGAATGACAGACACAAAAACACAAAGTAAAGAGGAAAAAACTCACTTGAGCATCTGTTCATGTCTGGGGCTCGGAGACCATAGTATCCCGATGGGCAAGAATTCAAGCATTCTCCATACTGTCTCATGCCTTCTCTTCGTAGAAAGAAGAACAACTTATGCTGACATCGGATGCATCCGTTGTCTTTTGAGCATGACAAACAACCTTTGCAAACTGGATTCGGCCCATAGTTGGCTGTGAATTTTTTTAAAAAGGAGAAGACAACAACAGTATTAAAATCAAATAACAAGGACAATACATAATGGATTCTGCTTTTTAAAGTCATGCTGCAGAAAGACACAACTAAAAAAAAACTTGGGCAGATATGACACCCCCAAAAAGTGGGCATTTCTAATTTGCTTTTGGAAAGTGAGAGTTCCCTTTCTTCCTGCACCATGTGGTACTGTTTAACAGCCAAAATTATTAATATAGATACATAATATTAAGTGCAGCTGGGGATCAAAAATAAAATTAGACACAGCACTACTAAGTGAAGCCAGCCAACTACTTTAACAGCAGGGAGAGTGGGAGAGGGACAGAGAAGAGCACAGATGGAAGAAACAGGAGAAAAAACCAGATTCAGATGGAGAAAAAGGTTTCCACCTTGGTATGAGCCTCTCACCACAGACTAAACTGGGGACCACTTAATACGGCATAATATTATTTCAACATGCAAACTGAAATAAGGAAATAATTATTCCATAATGCTTTTTTAAGACCCTGTGTAATAAACACAATTTGACTATTTTTCTAGTTATATTAAAAAGATCCAGAATGTAATTTGAACCTGCAAATGTCACAGAGGTGAATGTCTTTATTTATCCTATGTAGAACAGGTTGCCCGAGATGGGAATGTAAAACTAACAGTTGACTAAGCTAACTCACTCCAGTGACAAGGAGAGAAACCCAAGCTTGGATGGCTTAAGTCTCTGTTGTTAGCGGGTGGGTATCATATTGAAAGCAAAGGGGAGGGGGAGTCCTTCTAAGAGTTTGAATCAGTCTCCTGTGATTCCATGTTCCACAAACCATTACAATGTGAGAACTGTTATGGGGATTTCAAGAAAGATACCCCTCACTAAATTAATGGGGGGGGGAGGTGTCTGGATCCAATTAGTGGCAATATACTTGCACTATTTATTGTTGGTTTTATTGGATCAGCCGTCAGTTGTGCAAGAGCTTGCAGCTTTTCAAAGCTTGCAAAAGGGGGCACACAATATTTCCCTGCACCAGTGATATTGCCAAGCTGCAGAAAAAAGAATCTGCATAAAATGCTAGGATTCATGTTGCTTTAAAAAAAACTACTTAAATCCATAACTTATCATTGATACTTATCCTCAGCCCACAACGGGTTTTGTCTATTTCATTTGTGAAAAAGACATAAATGTGGAGAAAAAGCATATCCTACCTTTTACCCTTTTTCATACTAGGCAGATTACTCACTTCCCTTAATGGTGTCAAAATCAACATTTCTCCATATATTTATTAAATGTGCTTACAAAGACAATATTTTTATAATGCTGATTCTGGTCAGAACTTTCCTTGTAAGTGAGCAAAAGTGGTTTCGTGAGAGTACCCATCATTTTTCACAAAATTTGCTTTTTGGCCTTTGGACTCACTGTGGCCACCTCAGCCACAACAATCCTTGAGCGATTCAAATAGCTGCACCATATATAAATGTTACGGCTTGTGAACCATTTGAACCAATTGAAGGTTCCCGATATATCCATGCGTCCCAACAAAATCCACAGCATGGCATGCAATTTGGAATGTACTGGAATTCTAAACATTGTACATTTACAATGTTGATGGGCATATGGTACTCTGCAAGTTAAAAACATAGAGCAGACAGAAGCCGATAAAGTTAAAATTCACATTTATTAGATTCCAGATGGACTATCAAACCTAAGAACTTTTTGCCAAATGCAGCACAAGAAAAGAGTATCGGCTATAAACAACAACTCCAGTTCACATGATAACACAAACATATAAACAAGGAATTATTCCAGCATTCCTTGCCCATACCCAGATGTGTGAACAATAGTATTTCTGGTTTTCAAATGGATGTAAAACTTACTACCTATATAACAATAACAACAAAAATAAAAACTCATTCCACACATGTTTCCAAAACCACTTATCTCAGACCTGGGCAAAGTGCGGCCCTCCATATGTTGCCCAGGTCTGACTTATCTGTTCGCCTGCTCACTTGTTTGTTTGTTCACAACATTCATGTAACAGAAGAGTTCTGAGCACTCTGGGTAGTCAAAATAGTTTGGGTTTGTTGTTGCTGCTGCTGTTGTTCTACATCAGAATCATAGTGTTGGAAGGGACCATAAGGAACTTCTAGTCCAGTAGTTCCCAAACTTTTTTGACTCACGGCTCCTTTTACTTACTGGCTGCTCGCTGCAGCTCCCCAGTACAGTAGGACTGGCATATTCACGGGATCAGTATCCACGGTTTCACTCATCCACCGGGATCAGTATCCGCGGTTTCACTCATCCACTACTTAAAAAAAACCAAAATAATAATAATATGAATACATTTTGACAGAGTGTATTATCAGGATGGGCCTTTCGAGTCCAGTAGTTCCCAAACTTTTTTGACTCACGGCTCCTTTTACTTACTGGCTGCTCGCTGCAGCTCCCCAGTACAGTAGGACTGCCATATTCACGGGATCAGTATCCACGGTTTCACTCATCCACTACTTAAAAAAACCCAAAATAATAATAATATGAATACATCTTGACAGAGTGTATTATCAGGATGGGCCTCTAGTTGGAACTGGAGACTGTTATATACTGTACATATAGCTTAAGGCAAAGGCCCTTTTGGCCTGACTTCTCCAAGAGAAACAGCTTTGAGGAAAAGCTGGATTTTTTTTCAAGGGGAGGCAGGGAAGGCTCCCCTGCAAACGGGAAGGCAGGAAACCCAGTCCTAGGCCAAGGTTGCCTCTCTCCACCATACACAGACACCAGAGAAACTGCAAGTAAGTGCTATGTGATACTTGGTGCGGGGGGGAGAGGATTCTGTGCTGCCCCCCCCAGGTGGCTTTCCTGGTGCCCCATGATGCCGTGGCGCATAGTTTGGGAGACACTGTTCTAGTCTAAGTTCCAATCCATGCAGAAAATCCACATAATTAAGCTCCTCCACTTATGACCATCTATTGTAACCCCTTTTTTTAAGAAGCCTTCCAAGTAACGTTGCATTTCATCTCATCAGAAGACATTGGCTTGTGTCTTTATTCTCTAAAGCAGCAAAGAAAGTGCTAGCTGCCCCTTCCATCTGACAATCTGTTCAGAATTTGAAGGCAGCTACCATACCACCTCTCAACTTTCTCATTCCTGGGGGGAACATTACCCACCTCCCGCAACCATTCCTCACAGGATTTAGTTCCTAGACTTTTTACCATCTTGATCGCTCTCCTCTGGACATGTTCCAGCTTGTTGACTGTGCAAGCCACCTGCTTAAACAAGAACTTAGAAAGCTGATATAGGTGTCTGAGCCAAACTGAGTCACAACGGCTGAAAAAGCAGAATATAAAGGTAGAAATAGCTGCAGAAAATTATATACTCTGGCATATAAAACCAAATCCTTAAAAAAAAAACAGCAGCAGGTTAAGAGGGTAATGCTTTAGGAGCATTAGCACAGTTCTCTAAAAGCAAGGGAGAACATCTTCACTGCCTTGGCAAAGATCACAGCGTAGGCAGCAGGACCATCTTGTTAGGAAGACATCGCACAGAAAGATGCCAAAATTAAAGAGCCTTCTCTTGCAGCCATCAGCTCAAGATGAGGCCTAACTGGTGCTGAACAGAGAACTAGTACTTCACAGGATTTGTAGAATATACTTCTGTTAATGTAGCCTAAAATAGCATTTGCCTTTTTTGCAGTCACATCACACTGTTGGCTCATAGTCAGCTTGCAACCTACAACAATTCCAAGATCATTCTCACTCCTACTATTACTGAGCCAAGAATCCCCCATCCATAATGTGTTCCTTTTCTAAATTACTTCTGAAAAGACAAAAGAAAAAAAATCACCAGATATGGCCTCCAGTAACGTTTTCAAAAGAATGGAAATATTACTCACTACGCTGAATTTTAAAAATTTACTATGTTATCACTGGGAAAGAAGCACATCACAGCGGACACAGTTACATAAATCATGCTACCTGAAGCTCTTTGCTCAGGATACTTAAGGCAATGTTCAAAATTTTTGAGAAGCGTGTAGCCTGAAGTCAAATTAGCATTAGAAGTCAGCAGTTCATAAGCTTTTGTTTTCACAGCTTCTGTCTTTACACATTAGTTTTATCTAATGTTAGCATTAATTACCATTGATCTATTTATACTAACATTTCTTTTAAAAACTCTTGCTCTCCATTAATCCGATTGTCTTCTTGGCATATGTCTTAAAGGATTCACATTTCACAGTCTCATCATAAGATACAGATTTCTGGGAGTGATACTGAGGGGTTGTGATGCAGAAATGATCTTAATGGTCAAAATCTACCAGGAGAAAAAGGAAAGACTGAATTGGTCCACAGATGACTACTATTACTATTTCTCCTCCTCCTCCTCCTCCTCCTCCTCTTGGCCAACCAAAGGTTACATAACAGGATACCAATTTACTTCTCAAATGCTGTAGCACAATATGATCCTAACTGTGAAGGGATGGCACTTTTCTTCATTTTCAATATGATACATTCTTGAGTTTCTAATTGGGAACTGCTATACTTCCACCCAAAGGAGTGTCTTTTCGCATAAGTTCCACAGACTTTGAGACTTTCTTGTTTGCTGTGCAAAAGTATCTTTCCCTAGCAAAATCCTGACCCACCACTATGAGCATCATCAATCATGATTTTAACAACTGGGCAGGAACACATGAGAGAAGGTCCCGGGAAGGAACTCCTTGTAATAGTGAGCTCTGGTGGTAAGCATTAGAAAAAAAGTCAGCTAGATCATAGGTATATCAGGTTTTTAGAACAAATGATATTTCGGGAGATCAAGCTACCTCTTTACCATAGCAGATAATTTCCCTCACCTATGCATCTTGTATTTATTGTGTTTTTAAGGCAAGCAACTGGTCATTGGGAGTGTAGGCAAAGCACTAATTTCCAAGATTCATGACTGAGGCACACACCTCTGAAAATGTCCGTTGTAGAAAAAAGAAACCCACATGTGACATGGATTGATTCCCTA